GCAAACATGATGGCAGTTGTCATACCGGCAATCGGACAGGCATCGGACAGGCATGTGTTCGACATGGGTCAGGCATGTGGCAGGTAATTTCTCACCTGGGAATGTTTGAGAACGAAACTAGTGTAAGGCTATTGGCGGTCCTCTTTGTCATGGTTAGTATAGTAGAGTGGTTAATGGTGTCTTTCATCATTGTTTTGTCCATTTCCATTGGGTCTGGGTTCAATCCCCGCACTGTCCATTTTTTTCGGTTTTCCCAGCAGAGTTCGTCACGTCAAATTGATGCAGGCTTGCACATCTGAAGACCCTTCTATGGTATCCTTCTTAATGTTTTGAACCAAGATAAAAAGTCAGAAAGTGTGGTATCATTGTGCACATTGGGTCTGAATTTGAATTTGCACACTGGTGTGAATTTCACATTTTTCTCTTTACTCTCGTCTTCTTTGCTCTCAGCTTCAATAAGGTACAAAAGGCCCCTCAATTTTTCCTGGAAGTTGGGATGAGGTGCAAGGCCAGAGCATTGACAACTTTGTGAGAATCACTGACTTTGATGGGTTGCCGGACCCTTTCTTGATATCCTGCACTCTCTGAATCCCTTAGTTATTTCATACATTTATAGACAGGATGTATGGAAAACAATCCCGGAAAACTCCGGGAGGAAAGAGGACAGGAGGAAAGAGAAAAATGTGACAGTGCAAATTCAAATTTAGACCCAATGTGCACAATGATACCACACTTTCTGACTTTTATCTTGGTTCAAAACATTAAGAAGGATACCATAGAAGGGTCTTCAGATGTGCAAGCCTGCATCAATTTGACGTGACGAACTCTGCTGGGAAAACCGAAAAAAATGGACAGTGCGGGGATTGAACCCAGACCCAATGGAAATGGACAAAACAATGATGAAAGACACCATTAACCACTCTACTATACTAACCATGACAAAGAGGACCGCCAATAGCCTTACACTAGTTTCGTTCTCAAACATTCCCAGGTGAGAAAGTACCTGCCACATGCCTGACACATGTCGGACACATGCCTGTCCGATGCCCAGCGGATGCCCGTCGGATGCTGGTATGACAACTGCCATCATGTTTGCCTGTGTCTGCGCCGCCAGCCGGTGAGGGGAGTGGGGTACTGTGATCCCATCAAAGCTGTGCACCGCCCATTTCAGGAATTTGGTTCACAGCGCATGCGAGTCAAATGACAGTCGGCAGGGCCAAGTGACTCCTGTTCTATCCACTTCAACATTGGCTGGTTGAAGGGGGCGTCAGGTTGTCTCTCATCGAGTCTTCTCGTCGGGTCAAAATTTGCTCCGAGTCTTGAGTACTTGAGTCCGAGAATGAGTGACTCTGAGCGAGTTATGGAAAGAGAAATCGACATATCGGCGAGGGCTCGCAGTCGAATACGCCAGGAACGGAATCGCAGAGGAGGAGAACGCGTCGTCATAAAAGCAACACTCAAGTGGATAACGCATCTCGGGCCATTCCGATTTGATAGATAGCCGAGCACCGCCACCCCCTCTCTCTTCTTTGCTCTTAATTCTCTGTCGAACATGCAGCTTGGGATGAAATGGAATACGGTGGGTAAAAAGATATGCGAGGATAACACATAAATAATTCTACTAGAGATCCGGCCTGGGGATCGTCGTTGAAGTTGAAGAAGAGTGTGTCCATTGCCTAGGCCAATCGCAATAACTATGCCGTACCGCACTCAGAACCGAGGCCTCGCCGGTGGCGCTATGATGTGTAGAATGAATGCCAAATGTGACCATGTCGAAGAGCCAGATCTTCAGACGACCACGTTGCCGTCCCATTGTGCGACGTCCGCCCTGTCGCGATAGATCTCCCGCATAATTGGGGCACAACACTGGCACGTCCTTGTGAGCCGGAGCGAAATATGGAAGGGCCGGTGATCAACATCATTCAACATGGCATCTGGAACTTGAAAGTCCCACGATCGAACGCAGTGATGACTATTGAGTCCTTCATTCCGATATTCAACGAATCGGCGATGATTCTCATGGAAGTATCTAAAACAGACGCATAGTCTCGCAAGGAGGTATTTCCCCGAACGAACAGACACCACACCCTCGAGAATTCAAAATTCCCTGTGTCTCATTACAAAAATTGGGGACGTCATACAATGGTCGTATGCGGGTCAGGTGCCATTGAACGCAGCCTTGAATGGAAGGTCTTGTTTAATAGCGAAGGGAGAATTCTCCCGGGGTTTCCAAATCGCCTGTTTCCGTGCTCCGGGTGAATAGCGAGGAACATCCTCGCTGCCAGATAATTATACCAGGTAGCATTCTCACTGCCAACTTGGCAGTAGGAACCTTTGCCGCCATTGCGGCAGATACTCCCCGACGGCTTGTAGACTCACAAACTGCTGCTTCCCTTTGCAATGTGATAGCCTGTATGCGCTCAGGATATAAACCAACCACACCCTTTCCTCGGAACCCACCATCGGAGCAAGTGAACCCACTTGCACCTTCGTCTCTCGTCTGCCATCGTCCGTGCCTCTTCTCTTATTCTTTGCATGCATTGATATGTGCCCTTATCTCGATCTTCATAGGAACCTCCAAGCGTAATCGTCTTTTCCTCGCATTTTGCTAGCATATATATCCCCACAAGATGCCACAGATATGGGGCTTCAACATCGATGCCGACTGGCACATATCGGCTACATGCATGGGCAGCGGCTGTCCTGATGGTATTGAAGACTTTATCTCGCTCCCGGACTGTCTCGGCTGCAACGAGGCCGGGTACCTGGGCACCATGAACCAAGCGGGGTACACCTTCAAGCGCATCGACCTCAAGGTTGATCACTGGGCAGCTCCGACCGTCGATGACGATGATGTGACGATGCGATGGACTCATCCCGAGTATGCCACGCAGCACTGCATCTGCGAAAACCCACTGAATGTTCCGCACAGGAAGAAGGTCGAAACCGTGATAGACTTGAGAACCATATTCAGCTCGGATGAGTACGGAAACATGTCCCTCCGCCCCGTTCCAGTTGTGGTCTTCGTCCCGAACAAGACGGAGGACGAGCAGAAGATTCACAGCGCCTTCCTCGCCCAATTGAAAGAACATCTTACCCTATTCCATCAGCCTGAGGATCCCATCATCGAATACGCGATTGATGTCGACCATGGGAAGAACTGGGCCTTGTTCCATGTAAAAGCTGCGAGCGAGACGGAGGGCCACGTGTTCAAAACATTCACTGCAGAAGCACAAGCATCTGTGCTGAAGATCGCCGACGTGAGTATCTTGCTGAGTTCTCCTCTCTGATCTCAAATGCATATCTCGTGTTGACAGGACACGGGAAAGAAATACACGAAAATAGACTTCTCCGTTTTACAGGGGAAGATAGCGGCCGAATGGGGTACCTGGATCGGAGGTGACGCCGAGTTCAACCTCGTCAGCGGCAGAGTGGGCGTGTTCGATTTCAAGGCTGGAGTCGGCGCTGCCACTGGCGTGGGGTTCCGCGATGAGTCGGCCGAAGTTGAACTATCGGGATGCGGATTCATCATTGGGAAGCGTGTTGGGGTTTCCGCCTTGGGAACCGAGGTGTCGATCAATTTTGGCAGGTTTTTCCCGAATTAAGGGTGAGATTCCGCATTCGCCCTCTCCGTTTGCCGGCGCTCACTATGAAGTCCGAAAGGCATGATCTCCCCAAAAAGCTTGTTTTGAATTTTGTCGAGTCGGGCATCATACACATTCAGCCGTCACTCACGCCCGTTCACGCACTCCTCCTCTTTGCTTGCTCTGCCTTGTATTATCATTGTGGCTGTCGTCTACTTCGTCCTATTGTGGCTTAGTTGTGCCAGCGTATGATCGAATATCATCTGTACTTTGTGTCCACCTAGTTGAACAATCATTTCCAAGCCATGCTAGTGGACAAAAGTAAAAACTTGTCCATCCCTACATACCATTTACTTGACATAACCGCTACGAAACATCACGGACAACGGAGAGGACCGGACATTCGCAATTCAAGATGGCTTAACACCCGGTATCAGTTTCGAGTTCCAGGTCCCATGGAAGGCCGTGTTTTGCGTATTTGATCAAATTGAAAACAGTAAGTGCAAGTCCTGAATGATCTCATTTTTTGGGCGCCGTTTCGATCACCAGTCGACATTTCTTGCGCAGTTGTGCTTCGTCATGGTGAGGCTTTCCCTGTATCCCTAGATGTTCGATGTTTTTGTTCTCGAACCTCAGGGCTTTATCTATATTCCCCTTCACATCTCTTCGATCAAATCCCCCACGCAGGAACTCAGCGTGGAACCTACCTGCCTCGCGGACGGCAAAATTGACAGTTTCCGCCTCAGATTTTGCCGCCCTATTTCAGGTTCAAAGCATTCAGTACAACATTCCCACGCCGTAAGAAGGCAATCTGCTCCAGATTAAGGGGAGAGTCGGTGGTTCGACCCCACCCGAGGACATGATTGGCATAATCACGACGCTTTTCTGCACTTGCAACTCGGCGGAGCGGGAGATGGCAGAGACACAAACTCGAGTGGAATCCGTAGCTGCGGCGCACCGAATGAGATTTAATGATACAACGACGCACTCGGTGCACTGGGAAGCAAACCAAAGAAGAAAACGGAGTAGAAGATGAGAATGTCCCGCAAGCCAGCCGATTTACTCGAGGGAACCCCACCTATCACGGTTCGCAATAGTTGGTGGAAACCGCAACTCACCGCCATCTGATATCTTATGAGCGATGGTCTTTAGGTCGTTCGACCCCACCCGAAGACGTGACCCATTCGTCGTCGCCTTCTTCAAGTTCTTGGCTTGAATCTCGGTTCTATGCTCACATCAGTAAGTATAACTCTTCGTGGAGTAAACCCACCCAAAGACGTGCGCGTGCGCAATACCCTCAGTTCACACCTCCACATCTTTACTCATCGATACCGGCGAGAATACCCCGGCACTCGCCATGCACTCTTCGTCACTCGGATCGTTGCCCCCTATTCAGGTTGAGCATAACAGGTACAAGTCTTCGTGGCGTAGAATAACTCACTCCCATCTGCTGCCACAGGTATCATGAATTATGCCAGGGAGAGCCGGTGGTTCGACCCCACCCGAAGACGTGTGCTGTGGCTCTCAGTAATCACTTTTTGGTACGTCAGTCTCAGTTTCAAGTCTCCATCGCTCCATCCCCCATTCCCCATTCACATATCTGCACACCTCTTTGATCAAATTCCCTGGAATTTTATGCGACACAGACCGCAAAATAATGGTTATCCGCCCCAGATTTCCGCGGACCTACGGAGGTTCACAGGCGTCCAGTGCAATCGTCACCGCCCTTAGCGGGTCATCTGCCTAGTGAGGCTTATGAACGCTGCCCCAGCTTCCTCTCATCCTTTCCCTTCCCCTCTACGGTTCGCTCGAAAAGCAAAGTGTCCATCGGTCTTCCTTTCCCGCATTTTTTTTATTCTTCTCTCCTCCTGAGGCAAGCGCAACACCCTCACTGCACAGACTACAGTTCACGCTCGCACATCTGTCGACACCGGCGCGAGTCCCGAGGAACGCGTGCCCGAACGACCGTCTGTGTGCGTCCACCCAGCTCGCTGCCCACCTATCAGGGAGCGTGCATGAAGCCGTGCTGGGGAAGAAGGTAGCGAATTGAGGGAGGGACGGGAGGGCGCGGGTGCGGGCGCGAGGGGCGGCGTGTGAATTTATAAAGCGAAAGACGAGTTGCGATGTGATCTGATCTCATCGCAGAACAGCCAGAGCGTCGGAGGAGCACACCCTGACCGAGAGCCGCGCGGCCCGAGCTCGCAGACACGGCGCCGGCGGGATTTAGCCACAGGAGATCGCACCGCACTTGAGCGCGACGCCGCGTAAACCCCTATCGCACACGGTCCGCGACATGGAAGCGGCGAGGAGATCCGGGATGCGCACGGACGGACCGGGATCGGGAAATGCGCGGGGGATGAACGAGGACGCGAGAACAAGCCGGAAAGAACGAGAACACCCACTGGAACTTGAAGGAACCCGCATTCGAAGGTGAAAGGGACTTCAGCGCCGGGCGAGGCTAGGGCAACGAGTGCGAGTAGGATTCGACGCAGGAAGTCGAGATCGGGTCGACGCATTGGGGCGAGACCGCGATAGGGAGTAAACCAGTGAACGATAAGGCGGCGTTGAAAACGATGCACCCGCCAGAAAGGGAACAAGAAGAATACCTCCTGGAACGAGAACAAGAACGCGCGCACCTGAGACGGCGCTGAGAAGACAAGGAACACACCACCCATCGCACACTGTGTCGAGCCAATTCGATTAAAATGCGGCTCTTGAGTAGAGTAGAGCAGCGTACGTACGGGGACGAGATGGGCGTGTACAGAGTCATAGCGATAGCGAGTGCGGTCCAAGGCTCGTGAGTCGTGACAAAAGTTCAGTGCGCGCGAAGGTCCGAATGCGATACGATGAGATGGGACTGCAGGGCGGACCGAAATGCGGGGGTATGGTGTATGGTGAGCGCCGCGTCTAAAGATAGCGCTCCTATACCACTGCGACCGCGCCGAGCAGCAGCCCGCCCACGACCACCGCAATCCCCGCCATCGATCCCCCTCCCATCCCCGCACCGACCCTCCGCACGGCCGACGACGCACTGGGACTCGTGCTCACCCCACCCGTCACGCTCCCACTTGCACTCTTTGACGCAGAGGCAGATGACACCGGCGCGGAGAACGAGGACGGGACAGGGAACACCGAAGAGAAGTGATTGAACGACGCAAACGAGCCTCGTGCTCGTCGTGGCCGCGGCGCAGAACTGGTGCACGAGTGCCTCGGGGGAGACAACTTGGGACGGCGTGGAGGGGCACGCGGCGAGGCAGGCGGATGTTGAGGTTAAATAGCACGAAGAGCGACGAGGGAGGAGTGCTCCAAATAAATTGAGAGGCGCACCGGCAATCCGAGACGCCACTCACTGTCAGCGACGGCATCGACGCAGAGAGTTGCTTAGGCCGTTGCTTTCTGCTTGCGCCCGCTGCGCTACCCGCGCTCTTTGCGCTCTTGCTATTTGCCCGGGAGCTACGGACCACAGCAGATCCCAAAGAAGTTGGAGGGAAGAAAAGAGCGTGACTCGGAGAAAACCCCGAAGTGATCCGTTACTCGGATCACACAGCGGCTGATAGGGGCTGGTTGGAAAAGAACTGTCTGAACGGCCGCGCCACTCAACTTGAACTCAAACCTGAATTCTATTGATATCACCGCTACGTACACCTCGATCAGGGCGTGAATGGCCTCGATCCACCACCATTCAGGCAAGCGCTCGGTATCACGATTGCGTGAATGTGTGCACAGTCGTCAGACAATCTCGTTCGATTTGGGGGCAGGTGGATAGATTAGGCCCATGGTGCCAATTGGTTCTGAATCAAGCCGCGGACGGCAGTCGCCGTTTTTTTTCTTTCAGGCTCAAAATAGGCCCACCTATTCGAAACGAGTATGGAGAAATTGCAGGCAGAAGCGGTGCTTTGACTTCACCCGGGTACATATCGAAGCGAACGTCATTTTGCGTCAGTTCTTTACTGAGCGTATCAGGTCTTGTGGGTACCGGCACCCCGTAATATACCCAGTCCTGCTCGAGGGGATCCTCATATATCCATGTTTTGAGGTACGTAGGTAAGTCCCTGTGGAGTACAGCAACTCGCTCCCAATCCGTCAAGATGGTATCTCCGTACAGGGGAGAGTCGGTGGTTCGAATCCACTCAGGGTCACTGTGCCTTTCCGGAGCCCTTTTTTACTCTTCCTGTTTGCAAGGGAAGTGGGTGAATCCGCGCAGGGAGATGGTACTCATTTCCCGAAACGACTTCCGATACTGAACAGCGCAGCGTATTATGGCGTTAGAGGCTCAGATGGCACTTACCTATTCAAGAATTGGTTTCCGTATACCAAGGTCAACCACTCAGTGTCCAGGGAGAGGGGGTGGTTCGACCCCACCCGGGGCATACATACCGCACAGTCTGGATTCCGGCTTTTCATTCGGGGGACGTCCGTGCATATTGGATAATCCCACGTGCACTTCTTTAGGGCCCGTACGTATTCGAGTTCGCCGTCAGGATAACTCCCCGTCGCTCGCTCCCGCTACTTACGTTGCCCGGATTCGGTATTAAAGGTTCGGGGAGAAGCGGTGGTTCGAGTCCACCCGGGGACATACGTGACGCAGTGTTCCCTTTTTTTTTCATCCGGAGGGAAGATGGGTGCCTGGGGTGAATTTAACCGAGTTGTATACGTTCAAATTCAGAGCGGGGCCCTGTGTAATCCATTCTTCCTCGCCACCTAATATTGATCACCTCTGCGCACCGAAATATCCGCACATATTCAAGTTCGAAAGAGCGAGAATAAGTCCCTGTAGAGCATGGTAGCTCGCTCTTTCCCACCTGCTAGGAAGAGGTGCAGAGGATTCAGGGAGAAACGGTGGTTCGATTCCACCCAGGGACATATTGGCGGTCGAAGGTGATATATTTTCTCCCTTTTCTCTTTTTCCTAGCGAATGGCGGGTGCGTATGGAAAGGCGGAGATGCCGCCTCCACGGAAGTACGCCTAGATTACGCTGGATCGGTAAAGTAGCGCTAAAATTTAAATCTTGTGCTATGTGAAAAAATGCTGGAGATTAATCTGAAGCGGATAGGTACTTGTGGAGCATGGTCGCTCGCTTCCAAGACGTCAAGGAGAGCCGGTGGTTCGATTCCACCCAGGGACATAGGTCAAGCGTCGCGTTTCTTCTTCTTCTGTGATGACGGGTACGTAGGGTGAATGTAATTGTAATGGGTAATATTGAGCTCAGAATCGAGGGAGGGACGAAGACATATGTAATCATTCATCCATTCTTTTCTGTTCGTCCGAGCCCCCTGTTATCTCATCTGAGCAGTGCCAAAATGAGTCCATCTATAATTCCTTTCACTTCACCGGGCTCCATCGTGGCTCCGTTTCTGGCTGCAAACCTGCAACAACGGATCTTAGGCACGCTGCATCGTTCCTTCCTTTCATCTCTCTTTTTCCCTCATATTTTGCCTCCCTATTTACCTACCACTGCGCAAACTGCGAAATTTCTGAATCGCCCCGTATACGTATCTAGGTTAAAAACAGATATAGATGTGTGTAGACGAACTGTATCTACATTGTGTAGACATAGGTGGACAAAGGGGACCGTCCACCCTTCGTCTAGGGGGGATAGACGAACACCTGTCTCACTGCGTTCCAGCCCCCAGTAGACAGAGGGTCTGTCTACTGGGGTAGACACAGGGTAGACAGACCTGTCCGGCTACCTAAGTCTATGATGAGTAGACATACCCAGTTTACCTGTGTCTACCCTGTAGATAGGGTACACAGACCTGAGACCGAGGTAGACTGAGGTAGACATAGTCTGGCTGACAAATCTGCTTTAAGAGGAGCTCACAGTGAACCGTAAACGAGGGTTGTGAATGTTGATTTTTGAAGAAATGTTGAGCAGATGCCATTTCCCATACTTAAGCGGTACACGTTACATAGTCTCTCACATGCCAAGCCTACAGTTCAGACGCACGACAGGTCGAGGTGAGCCCAAATTAGCCTGCCATGGGTGGACGGGGTCAGTGTACCCAGGGAGACTGAGGTAGACGGAGGTAGCTGAAGGCTGTCTACCTAGGGTAGACAGAGGTAGACAGGGGTAGACGGAGGTACACTAACATGTGTCTACTCGCTGTGGTAGACAGAGGGTAGACAGAGGTAGACAGAGGTAGACCGAGGTCTGTCTACCGGGGGTGGGAACGCAGTGTCTACATGGGTGGGAACACAGTGATTGCGCTTGATGCGTGTTGTCGCTGGTGAGGAGTTGGAGTAGTATTTTGGGGCTTTGAATAGTGCTTACACAAATCCTCGTCGCTCTTGGCTCTCTTAATGAGATAACAAGGACGAGAGAAAAGGAAAGGAGAGAGGGTGAGAATGTTGCATCCGAGTGGTCGAATATGTTTTGTGATAAAAAGTACCTGATTCGAAACACGATCCCAAGCGACATCTAGAGACATGCGTCCTGATCAATTTCCCCCTCGTATAGATCATCAATCGTCATTCAAAACACTAATGTTACAGGAAGGCCGGGGACATGAAAACGTGGCGACGAGGTTTACGAGTACTTATGTAATAAGTTCTCGTTCTTTTCTAAAAGTTTACATGAGGGTTTTGCGAGCTACTCGAATCATCAGTCCTACTTTTCCAGTAGAAGGAAAATAGTGGCTGTGTTGAAGTCCTTTTCAGAGATTCCATTAGTTTTTTTGTGACTATATAGTGGCTGTGCTCACGGCTAATGCCGAGCATAAGGTCCTGAGATCGAACCTGGAGGGTACATTCCTTTTCTATTCATCTTTTTTTTTATCATACTCACATGCTGTTCACTTTGGGAAAAAAAAATTAACACATATCTCTTCTGGGCTGGGACCATATATCGAGGCACCGGACACCAATATATCGTGAACCGGACACCAATATATCGTGAATCGGACCGATATCACAACATTGAAGTACAATATATCAAATCTCGGGCGCATCATATAAACTTTGACTGACCATATATCGCGAGTTTGAGGTCGACAATATCTAAATCTTGAGCCGGCATATCTAAGGTTCGGGGGCTTCTTTCATTGATGGAGTCAGCGGAGGCACTGACGGTGGGTATGGTGGCATCGTTCGGGGAAAGGCGAGTTGGGATCATCCGTGCCGATTGCTTGGTTCAGCTTGGCAAGGGCCTTTCGGCCGTTCCCGGTTCAACCCAGTTTGGCACATCATGTCTCCGTTCAGACCGTTTCTAGTGTCAGGAAGGGATATGCTCATCCACTAATTCTATAGGTAAAACCCATGCAAATCTCCAACTGCACAACAGGCCAATTTGTTCTCAAGTGTTGAAGGGGTTAGTGAGACCGCCGTAGAGGCAATGGCCTTCAGGGAATAACTTTGATACGGTCTCGCAGGCTTGGGAGGAAGGGACGGGGGTCCGCCGAGCTAGTGATGTTCTGGCTTTGGCCTCAGGCCAAAAAGCCCCGGCTTTTTGGCTTTGGTACCAAGGCCAAAGCCAAGCCAAAGGCTTGGCCTGGGTTGGCTTTTGGCCTGGCCTGGCCTTTTAGAAAGCCAAAGCCAGGCCAGAAAGCCATGACTTTTAATGTTATTTTAAATCATTTTTGATGGGACTTTTTTAAATTTCGCGGTTTCTCATCAGGTGATCCAATCGGGTCATCACATCAATTTGATCAAAGATCCGCGCTGGGCGCTTAGCTGTCCTATCTTGGGGCATCTGGCCACTGGATTGAAGAGGTCTCCCCGGGTGTGTGGGAATCTCGTGAGGCACTGATTGGATTTGTCCGCCTCAACAATGCCCATAACGGTGTTCGACTGGGGCAGGCGCTGTACAAGATCGTTGCGCGGCTGGGAATCCAAAAGCGGGTATGTTTCGATATATGTGTCTTACTGGGCCAGCTAACTGCAGCCCAGATCGGATACATGACGACCGACAGCGCGAATAACAACGGCACGGCAGCAGTCAAGTTTTCTGCACAATTACGCAACAATGATAAAGTTGTTTGGGATCCCGAGGAGCTCCACCTACCGTAAGTATCATTATCTATTCGTCTACACCGTTTCTCACTGCTCAATCCATCCAGCTGCATGGCCCATATAATAAACTTAGCAACACAGGCGTTGATATTGGCATACAGTAAATCACCCCACTTCAATCCGAAATAGCCCGATGAACATCTGCCTGACACATCCGCCACGCTTTGCGACGAAATTGGTCTCATCCGGGCTATTTCGGTGAAGGTAAACATTTGGTCATCGCAATCCTGATTTGATAGAAACTCGTGTAGGAACGTTCATCGCCCAAGCGGAAGGAGATTTTCAAGAGTATCCAGGTGAAAATCCGTCGGGCGGGGGAATCAGATACCGTGAATGTTGGGGTCATTGCTGGGAAGCAGTTGATCTTGGACATGAAGGTGCGCTGGAGCTCGACATATCATATGCTTCTACGTGCATTCGAACCGCGTGAGGTACGGTCAATTGGTCTCATTTCAATGCTTGGACTGAATTGGTGTTCGGAGAAAGTTCGTCGATGAGTTCATTGTTGATATTTCATACGATGCACCCAACGCTGCCGAGCGCGCCAAAATTCGGGAACTCAAGCTCACCCCTGCGGAGTGGGAGCGTGTTGATAAGTTCACTGGATTCCTCGTGGTAGGCTCTATTTACCAGTTCAATTCCTTGGGATTTCGGTTGACTTCGAGTTGCGCAGCATGCCGAGAGGGCCCAACAAGCATTCTCCTCAGGAACTGTCCCGTCCCTGCAACATGCCATCCCTGCACTGGAGGCACTTCACAGCGCTTGGACTAAGAGGGCAGCAATACCGGCCAACGCAATCTATGCTCTGGCGCTCGAAAAGGGTGCTGAAAAAATTGACGAGTATTATCAAAAGACCTCGCGGTCAACAGTGCAAGTAATGGCAATGGGTTTGTTCGCATTTTCTATTCTTTACTGTATATTTCTTATTCTGTGTTACAGTCCTCGATCCCGCGCAAAAGGGCTACCATTTTAAGAAGCACTGGGGATCCGCTTTGGCAAAAGAAGCCCGGAAAACCGCGATGAATATCGTGAGTATTACATCTTGCACAATAAATTTCAGAATACCTGATTTCTTTGTCAGTTTGAGGATCGCTGGCGTGTGCTGAATAGGGAAACATCGCGACCGAGAGAGTAGTGGTCAAACTCGTCACTTAGTTACTTCGCTTAGGAATCAGAAAGTTCGTGAGTTTGATGGGAAAGCGTGAAAGTTTGTCACTTTGGCTAGTTTCTGGGAAAGTTCATCAGTTCAGCTTGGTGCCTTCAAGAACTCGGAACACCGGCCATCAGTGTGCCTTCACACAAGCTGGGGTGTGTTTCTATATATATGTCCCTCATCCTAACACTAACTACTAACTCTAACCACTAACCTCTAACCTCTAACCACTAACCCCTAACCCCTAACCCTAACCAACTAACCTGAACCACTAACCTCGAACCCGAACCTAACGGCCATTTCGGCAGCCCGTTGCTTCCCATCACTCCGTGATGTGCCGAGATTCGCCGCTCGACAAGCTCGGAATGCAAAGTGACGAACTTTCACAATATACCATCAAACTCACGATCTTTCACGAGTTTCCATCAAAGTCACGAAGATTCACAACGCTACGCAAAGTAACTAAGTGATGAAAATGGCGTGGACTCGCGAGAGACACGTCCAAACTGGGCACGCTCCTGAGGGAGATCACGCCGGACAGTGAGGATGAGGGCCCATCTTCGACCGTCCATCGGGATCCGTCTAGACCATGACTGGAAGAATTTGAAGAATATTATGACTCTCATCGAGAGGTTCTTCCTGCCAACACCTCCATGGTGTCGTGGTGGGGTGTAAGTTTTTCTCTCTTTGTGTACGAACAACA